CCGTTCTGGGCAATGGTTATAATTATCTTAACAGATTGACATACATCTTTTCAAGTCTTTTTCTATGCACAACATATGTAAGATATATGTTGTCATCTTTAAGAATATAACTTATTTGTACATTTGTAGGAACACATGAATAAATACTAAAGATTTATAAGGGATTTTTAAAATAAAAGAACTTTTTGCAAGATGTTTTGAAATTTGAAAGTTTTTAAAAGATTTTTATTTTCATGAGAAAAATATTATATTGAGATACATATTATATACTATGCTTCAGAATCCAGTAGTCCTGAAATAACTTCCTGTGTGTGTGTGTGTGTGTGTGTGTGTAAGATGAAGTTTCATGTATGTACATGTGTATGTATATATATGTGTCCAGGTTCATGTCTGTGCATGTTTTGTATGTGTGCAAGTTCATGTGTGTGAAAGTTCCTATTTATGCATGTATGTGTGTAGGTGTATATGTATGCATTGGGAGTACAGGTACACGTGTATATATGTATGTGTGTGGAGGTCAGAGGACAACCTCAGTTGTAGTCCCTCAAATGCCATCCACCTTTTTAAAAATTAAAACAAAATGTATTTGTAGTGTGTGTGTGTGTGTGTGTGTGTGTGTGTGTTAGGTCTTAGGCTGTCCAAATATCAAGGAATGAGCTCAAGATGAACTATAGGATTTCTGGCAGTTAGATAAAAGCCAGTATTCCTCCAGATGGAGCTTTTAAAACCAGTTCCCATCTGCCAAAAGAACTCATTTCTCTTACCTCTGGGTTATTTGGAAAAGAAATCATTGTTTAACTTTTTTCAAATAAATAGAAATAGTTGATTTCCTCCCTCCCCAACTCTTACAATATCAGTCCCTGAGTTACTTAGTGTTAACAGTTTGATGTACCTTTTTTTTCCTTTCTTCTCTTTTACTAGTGTCTGGGTGTGGTAGTTTGAGTGAGAATGGGTCTCATAGGTGTGTGTGTGTGTGTGTGTGTGTGTGTGTGTGTGTGTGTGTGTGTGTGTCTGCATATGTGAAATGGGATCATGTATTTTGTTTGTTTGTTTGTTTTGAGACAGGGTTTCTCTGTGTAGCTTTGGAGCCTGTCCTGGAACTCACTTTGTAGACCAGGCTGGCCTTTAACTCACAGAATTCTGCCTGCCTTTGCCTCCCAAGTGTTGGGACTAAAGGTGAATGCCACCACTGCCTGGCTTCTTGTTTGTTTGTTTGTTTTTTAGAGATAAAAATATCACAGTGTAGCCCAGGCTGGCCCCAAATTTTCAATCCTACTCCAACTTTCAAGTTCTGAGATTATAGACATCAGCTGCTGTGCCTGGCTGCTATGCATTTTTATGAAAATATCAGCATGAGCTAATTTAAGCTGGTTTCAACAACCAAGCAAATTAATTGAGTCTTATCACTAGAAATTCTAGAAGTGAGAGGCTCTGGTATTAGTTTAGCTTAGCAACTCAGAAAAGATTTTTTTTTTTTAAATTTTTAAAAATTATTTATTCTTATTTTATGTGCATTGATGTTTTACCTGCATGTATGTCTGTGTGAGGGTGTTAGATCTTGGAGTCATAGGCAGTTGAGCGCTGGGAATTGAACCTGGGTCCTCTGAAAGAGCTGTCAATGCTCTTAACCACTGAGCCATCTCTCCAGCTCCCCCCCTTCTAAATTTATTTTATTTTAAATTATGTGTGTATACATGGGTTTGTGCATGTGAGTGCAAGTGCCTGGGGAGACCAGAGGGAATGTTGGATCCCTCTGGAACTGTAGCTACAGGTGGTTGTGAGCTGCCTGACATCGGTGCTAGGAACTGAACTTGGGTCCTCTGCAAGAACAATACGGGCGTTTTTTTTTTTTTTTTTTTTTCTGAGACAGGGTTTCTCTGTGTAGCTTTGCGCCTTTCCCAGAACAAACTTGGTAGCCCAGGCTGGCCTTGAACTCACAGAGATCCGCCTGGATCTATCTCCTGAGTGCTGGGATTAAAGGCATGCGCCACCACTGCCTGGTGAATACTGGCATTTAATTGCTGAGCCATCTTTCTAGCCCCAGAAATTATTTTTGTTTCTCTTTGTTTCAGTTTCTTTTGAGACAGAGTCTTGTTATTGGCCTAGGCTGGCTTCAAGCTCATGATTCTGCTGTCTTGACTTTTTGAGATGCTCGGCTTACAGGGATGTGCCATCATGCTCAGCTTGAGAACACCCCATCCCCTGTCTTAGATGTATTTATTTTAATTTTATGTGTATGGGTGTTTTGCCTGCAAAGATGTCTGTGCATTATGAGTGTGCAGTGCCTGAGAAGGCTAGAAGAGGGAGATGAATCCCCTGGAACTGGAATTACAGACAGTTGCTAGCTACCATGTAGGTGTTAGAAATCAAACCTGGATCCTCTGGAAGAGCAGCCAGTGTTCTTAAACACTGAGCCATCTCTCCAGCCCTGCTTCAGAAAGTTCCTTAAGGTCTTTATTTCATCTTTTTTTTTTTTTTCTCTCTCTCCCTTTGTGCCTAAAGCTGGTTCCTCTATGGTGGCAAGATGTTGGCCAACAGTGTTGAGGACAGCCTCTTGCAGACATAGAGGAATGTCTCTCCTCATCTGTCTGGTAATTTCAGGCTTCCCTCTGACTGGACTGCCTTGACCATGTGCTTGTTTGTTTTGCTGACCTGGGAATCAAACCCAGTCTTTATGAAAGCTAATCACTACCATGGAGTCATGTCCCACCCACTCCCCCAGCCCTCTTCCTCCTCCTTCCTCTTTCTTAATTGAGACAGAATCACACTACGCAGCTAAAGTAGATCAGGCTGATGTTGAATTTGAGATCATCTGTGTAAATGCTACCACGCATTTACTTGTAAGGCCAAGGTTACCTGATATGGCCAGTGAGAAATGAATATTGATCAGGCACAGGTTGGAGGGGTCACAGCAAGACTGGGGCTCTGACAAGTCTATTCAAGCAATCAGACTTTTTATACCCTTATCAGAGATAAAATATAATGGCAGTTGCCAGGATACAAATGTTGTTTTTAATCTAAGTTGTTCTGTCTACCAATAAAAACATGCAAGATCAGAGAAACCAAGAAGCAACCATCTGATCTTCCTTTTCAGCTGGAGATCAGCAAGAGAGCATCTCTCCATCAGTCCCAATCCAAAAAGGCACACAAATCTCTAAGTCCCTCCCTGCTTCTTCCTGTGCATCTCTCTATCAGTCTTCCCAAGTCCTCCATACTCTCTATGGCTAATTCTTGTCAACTAGTTACTGGCTCTGCCCCCTTACCCAAGGTTAATTGTATTAACAAGTCTCAGAGTTTCACAGTGCAAATATCCCACAACATACAAGTACTTTTACAAGGTACACAAGATCAATGTCTAAGATCAATTGTCCTGTCAAATGTCTATAAGCTTCACTGACTTCTGTCTTAGTTTTTTTAAATTTATTTAAATTTATTTAAATTTATTATGTGCATTGGTGTGAAGGTGTCAGATCCCCTGGAACTGGAGTTAGAGACAGTAGAGAGCTGCCATGTGGGGGCTGGGAATTGAACTTGAGTTCTCTTAACTGCTGAGCCCTCTCTCTAGCCCCTTAGCTAGAGTTTTTATTGCTGTGAAGAGACGCCATGACCAAGGCAACTCTTATGAAGTAAAACATTTAATTGGGGTGGCTTGCTTATAGTTTTGGAGGTTCAGTCCATTATCATCATGGCAGGGAGCTTGGTGGTGTGCAGGCCAACGTGGTGCTGGAACTGAGAGTGCTACATCTTGCAGGCAACAGGAAGTCAAATAACAGTCACACTGAGGGAAGCTTTAGCAAAAGAGACCTCAAAGCTGCCCTCACAGTGACACACTCCCTCTAACAAGGCCACACCTACTCCAACAAGGCCACACCTTCTAATAGTACCGCTCCCTTTGGGGCCATTTTCTTTCAAACTTCCACAACTTCTAAGGAACACAGGGAAACACAGAGGCAGCCTGAATGCTTCACTGCCTAAGGGGGTGCCTCAGTTTCTCAGGAACTGAAAGACACACAGTGCCTCAGTAGCCACAGACTCTAACCTGAAAAACCTATGACGTATGCCTCTCAAAGCAGCTTGACCCAGCCAGCTCCATGATTCCTTGCACTCTTGCTAGGCCTCCTGGGATTACAGGCATACATGACTGTATCTGGCTAGTCATGTGTGTTTTAACCTAATGCATAGATTGGCTTAGGTCTAGTGCATGCTGGTCCCCCAAATGTATAGTGCTTCCATACCATATCCTTTACTGGAGATGGGGATGGGAAAATTACAGTAAGATCCTTTGTGTGTTCATTGATGGAGTAGGATGCAAAGGATGCTCAGATTCTTACTCCTTTATGAGAGAGAGAGAGAGAGAGAGAGAGAGAGAGAGAGAGAGAGAGAGAGAGAGAGAGAGAGAGAAAGAACACGTGAGTGAGCACAGGATATATGTCACATGTCCTTAGTGCTCATCTTCAAATGGGGATATTAGGGGGAAATCCTTATCTTTAAAAAAATGCCTGTCATCTGTATTTTACATTTTTGCACAACAAGCATATTACTTGAACAACTTCTAAGAGAAAGGCTTTGTCTATGAGGAAGAGGTGTCGGCAATCAGGAAGTACTGGCCAAGCCTCACAGAAGCTCTGAACTGTCTTTCTCTTGCCCTTGTTACAACATTGTGGCTGTTGTAATAACTGGGCTTTAAAATCACCAGGTCCAGTGGTTGAATTTCCCCTGTAATAGTGTGGAGAAGTCATTTCAGCTTACTCCAGACACACACACATTTTTGGTCATCTCTAGATACCACGCAGTGGGTCCAGAGCCTGGAAAGGGCACAGAGGCCACATGTGTAGTCAGAGGGGACGCCTCTGTGCAGAAATGACGGCAGCTTGAGTTCCTCCACTCCCTCAGACGGAGGGTGCTGAGCTTTCTTTGAGGAAGTGGCCAGAGCAGAGCTGTCTCTGGCTTTCTCAGATGTCTTGACTCACATTGTGACTCTGGCTGCAGACACTGTGGCAGTGGACCTCAGATCTGATGGCTCAGGGAACTTGGTTCCAACTGTTAGGCACCGGCTGTTGTAAGTTCTTCCTTGGACTTGCTGCTGTTTCCAAAGTCTCTTCCTGGAAAACGCAACTCACTACTGGTTGGACTGGCAGAAAGGATCTGGTGGTGAGGTAAGGTGAAGGGCTCTCATGTCTGGCCAGGCACTGAAAGTCTTATTTTGATTTCTACTTGAAGCTGAGTCTCAGCTCTATAGAGTTGACCAGACCCTTCTGGAGTCATCTTACTGAAGTGAACTTGTATTTTAGTGTCATTTTGAGAGCTGTACTTACCAAAAGGATCGAAATACTCCAAGCTGAACAATCGAGGCACTCTGGTGTCAGTAGGAGAATCCATGCAGAGGAGAAGAGGTAGAAGGTCAAAGGACCATGTTCATGTTTCCTGTTAATGTATCATATCCAGAGTAGAAATGCAGCCAGTTGGAGACCTTTTCTGGCTTGTTGGGTGTTGTATTCGTAGCATCTAAAATAGCCAAAAGTGCAGGTGGTGGTGACTCATGCCTCTAATACCAGCACTTGGGAGGTAGAAGCAGGCAGATCTCTGAGTTGGAGATCGAGGTCAACCTGGTCTACAGAATGAGTTCCAGGATAGCCGGAGCCACACAGAGAAACCCTGTCTTGAAAAACCAAACCAAACCAAACCAAACCAAACCAAACCGCCAAAAGTACTCATATACAGTGATAAGCAGGCCAGCAAGCTGGATAGATGAACCTTTGCATTTTTCAAGGGTCATGACTTATGGAAATTCTTTAAAAATTTTTAAAAACTAATTCTTATGTTATCTATCTATTGTGCGTGCGTGCGTGTGTGTGTGTGCACGTGCATGTGTGCACGTGTGCACGTGTGCACGTGTGCGCGTGTGTGCGTTTGTGTGTGTGTGTGTGTGTGAGTTCCCTCTTTCTATCATGTGTATCTGGCTGTCAGGCTTAGTAGAAAACACCTTACCTTCTGAGCCATCTTACCATCTCTTTTTTGCCATTTTGTTTCGTTTATTTCAGACAGGGTCTCATGAAGCCCAGGTTGGCCTTGAACATACTGTGTAGCTAAGGCTGACCTTAAACTTCCAATCCTCCTGCCTCTACCTCCAGAGTCCTGGGATTACAGACATGGCTATCCTGTATGGTTTGATGTGTTGTTGGGAATTGAACCCACGATGCCTAGCACATGATAGGCAAGCACTTTGCTAACCAAGCTACATGCCAGCCCTTCTACAGGAATAATCTTTTCTGACCCTCTTAGGAAGATTAGGTCTCTCCTCTAAAGTATTGAACACTTGAGTTGAGGCAATCACTACAGTGACATTTCCCCTTATTCACCTCCCAGCCCCCCACTGCCTTCCCTGGAAGACTGTATAGTTGCGAAAATTTGTGCTTTATTTGTTTATTTGATTTTTATTTATTTTGAGACAGGGCATATGTAGCCCTGGCTGGCCTGGAACTCACAATGAAAATCAAGCCAGCCTAGAATTTACAGAGATCTGCCTCTCCCCACTCTCCCTCTCTTGACCCTGAGGGCTGGGGTTCTAGGTGTGTACTGTCATGTCTGGCTTGTGTCTCGTTTTCAAATTTACTGTAGGCACCATTGTCATCAAGGCGAAGTCTCCCCAGGGGTGAGATTACAAGAGTCACCACCATGCCTGGCAGTTTTACTTGGGTTCCTGACTGAGCCATCTCCCCAGATCCCTAAGGTGTTAGGTGTGTTTTAGACGTAAGTATTATAGGAAAGGATGACAGCCCATTAAAGCAGTGAGCCTCTAGAATAATGCGCAGTGAGCAGTTCAGAGACTGATCACAGACCCAAATTCTGATCAGAAACAGTGAGAAGAAGGAAGGTGGTATTTGTGAGAAAAGGTGGGTGCCTGGGCAGCCGTTTGCCAGGAAATGTCATTTTTCTGTCCTTTGAGGTCAGCACATATTCCTAAGGAGGCCTGTGACTTCACTCGGACCTCATGTCACCTCTGTGAGCTTAGAAAACACTGGCTCCTGCCCTCTCCTCTTGCACCCAATGAGAAGACAGAAGCTTCACAGTGGGTGATTTTTTTCTTCTTTCTTTAGAAACCTGGTTTCACTGTACACGTTAGGCTGACCCTGAACTCTCCTCAGTCCTCCTGCCTCAGCTTTCTGAGTGCTGTGATTACCCCTAGAGTTATTTTCAAAATACCAAAGAAGCCCTGTGTGGTAGTACATACCTGGATCCCCAGCTCTCCGGAGCAGTGGTAGGAGGATCACGATGCAAGATCAAGGCTAGCCTGGGCTGTACAGCAAACCCTGTCTCGATAGATAGATGATAGATAGATAGATAGATAGATAGATAGATAGATAGATAGATAGATAGATAGATAGATAGACAGACAGAAAGAACGAAGGAACAAACAAAAGAGACAAAGCAAGACAAAGACCAAAGAAGAAAGTCTGGAACAAGAGAGATATAACTTAAAAGGAGGAGGACATGCTGGCTATGGAAGAAGAGAAGACTCTAGGAACCATTCTAGAAGGACCCATTCTCTTCATTGGCCTTCTGCCAATAGGTTTGAGCAAGGAAAATCCCTTCTACCCTATTTCCTCTGCACATGGGTTTTCCCTTACTGGTGATGAGTCGGATACTGGTCCTGACCTTGGTGGCAGCCACTGCCCAACTGATCTTAAATACTCAACAAAAAAAGGCCCCTCCCCCTCCTCAGAGTTCACAGTCTTCCCCCTTCAGGAGTCCCCATGTGTGGGTTCCAGGAGGAATATGTTTATTTATTTATTTTGTGTAGGTGTGCATGGATGTGCCATAGTACACATGTGGAGGTCAAAGGACAACTTTGAAGAGTCAGTTCTCTCCTTTCACCATGTGGGTCCTGGGAATTGAACACAGGTCTTCCTGGCTTTAATGGCAAGCTCCCTTACCCACTGAGCCCTCTTGGCTACCTGGGTTCTGGGAAGGCTAGCAGACCACGGCAAGCCACTCTGTAGAAATAGATGGAAGCTGCGTTAGTGTACTTGAACTTCTGCACAAATTGGTGCTAACACCAACACCCACATGTCCTTTGAGCCTGCTCTCCTTGTCTTGCAGATGACTACCTTCTTCTTATCTCTTCATGTGGTTATTTCTCTCAATGGGGGCACTCCTGGAGTCAATTTGCATGTCCTAGTTACCTCTTCTAGAAAGAACTGGACCAGGCATAGGAGGTGCCCATCAGACAACAAATCTCTTTACATCATTGTCCTCTCTCTTTCCTGACAGAGGGATGGGAATTCCACTGGTCTCAGTCTCTCCAGTCTTTTGGGAAGACCAAGTGATTGGATGTGAGGATTGCCCTTCGTATCTGTTAAATGTCAGTCACCAGTGGCTTGGGGCACCAGCTTTGGAGCACAGAGAGTGGGTCCTAGAGTTGGATTGCCCCTATAAATTCCAAAGTCACTGTCAGGACTTGGTTATCCTCAGCCTGCACTCCTTCCTCCCTCCTTCTCTCCCTTCCTTTTCTTTTCTGAAAAAAAATTCGGGAAATGGCAGTGTTGACTTCATAGGTTATTGTGTGGATTGGGGATCCCAGCACTTCCTGAAGCTGCCTCACAGCAAGCAGTCACTGGGGGGTCATCTGCCTAGTCTTTAACCTGGATTTTATCTGGAGTTGGTGTCTGCTGGGGACTGGCTGTCTGGAATGAATGCTCTCAGCTCCATGCCCAGGGCCCGTGAGGAGACCGAGGCAGTGTTACCCTCCGTGGAAGAGCTGTGTTATCTGCTCCAGTTTCCCTGCAACCCCCCGTTTTGTTTTTGAGACAGAATTTTGTGAACCTAGGTTACCTTCCAACTGCTGTACAGCTGAGGACAAACATAAGATCTTCCTGTCTCCATCTCCCAGCGGAACACGGACTTTTTTTTTTCTTCAGAAGAGTGGCTGGTCCTGATTCTGTCAGGGAATTTGTAGATGTAAGAATTCACTGAAGTCTTTTGGCTCCAAAGTCTTATTTCTTTGTGCTGAAAGGAAACAGGTGTTCCTTATTTTAAAATTTCAGAAAAAGGACAAAGCCCTAAGAACTGCCCCTGAATAGGTCACCAGATGAAGCAGATTATTTGAGCCTCATTGCTAGAGCTCTTGATATGCAAATGTGCCTCCGAGAAGAAGGGAGAGTCTCTGGTTGTATGATCCTAAAGAAATTGCTAATCTTCCTGGGGTCTCATAATAAGCGATAAAACCTTCCTTCCTTTATTCCGAAGATTTCTAACTCTAGTCACCCAAAGCGTTCTAAGCCACTTACTCTGGTGGTGGTGTCCACAGAGCCCCACCCACCCCTTGGCCGGGTTGCCGGTCTGCAGGTGAATGGAGGCGTCTCATCTGGGCTCCACCTCAGACATGTACTGCTCTTAATTTTACTCGTGCCTGTCTCCTTCTTGCTTACAAAATGGCTTTAGCCCTGGGCTGTCGGCTCATTCATTATCCTCTGAAATTGAGGTGTGGCTCTCCCTCAGCTCGGCCTGTCTTGCTTTGCTTGGAATCTGCATTGCTCTCCCTGCCCTGCTGGAGCTCCGCCCTGCTTCACTCTGGATACAACCCTTGAAAGGCTCGATTTAAGTCCCCATTCCTCAGGAAGACTTCTCTGACTACAGCTAACCAGGGCAGTTGCTTTGCTTTCTGCACAACTTCCCACACTGCCCCTGGCTTTCTTACTGATTTAGTAAATAAGTAAAGCTATACATGAGGTCTTTGGTGCCTCATTATTTGATTAAACTGGAATCCACATCATCCACTGAACAATACGTTTTTGTGGGCCAGTGACTGTTTCACCATCTGTCCCCACTGTTCAGGATTAGGTATTGTCTGTGTCAGTGCTCAGGAAAGGCTGATTGAGAACAGTGACAAAACAGTGTGTCGTGTTGATTCATGTGCTAAACACATCAGACAAATGAAGAAACCACTTGGTCCCCAGTTGGTCTCACCAACAGTAGTTCCCAGAAGCTATTTTGGATTAGGGGTGGGGGATGGGCAACTCAGCCTTGATGGCAGCTGCAACTGCATCTATTTGAGGGGGGTGGGGGCAGTTTTTAGGATTTTCATTCTACAGAGTGCACAGTGACAGGGCTTGGAGTCCTGGAACACAGTTGGCTAAAGCCCCGATCATGGCTGACTGCATGGCATAAATGGAACGGAGCAGGTTTGTGCCAGACATGAGATACCTCAAGCAGGTACTGCTGAGTAACATCGAGGAAACCAGCAGGGATGGCTGAGATTCTGGGTAAAATGAAGGGTGGCAAGCAGGATCAAATGCCCGAGAATGTAGCTTATCAATGGGTACCCCTGGCCATGGTGAGCCCAGGTATGTATGTATGTGTGTATGTGTGTATGCCTGTGTGCGCGTGTGTGTGCGCGCGTGTGTGTGTGTGAGTGTGTGTGTGTGTGTGTACATATGTATTGTTGGGAGGCTCTAGCTAACAGGAAGGTCTTGACCACAGTCTATTCGGCCAGCACTTGCCTCCTTGTGTCTGGAACCCAGAGGCTGATTGCAGGGTATAAGAGAGAGAGCTTGGTCAGACAGAACAGGCTCTGTGCTAGACAGACGGAGTTCTGTTCAGATTAGCAGGGACTGGACTGGGGACAGTGAGATCACATGAGAGGTTCTGGGGTAGAGGAGGGACTGATGTTGTGGGCCCAGCTCAGAGTTGGTCCTTAAAGATGTGAGTGAGTAGTTCTCAACCTTCCTAATGCTTTGGCCCTTTAACACAGTACCTTATGTTGCGGCCAATCCTAAAATGATTTCATTTCTACTTCATAACTGTAATTTGGTACTGTTATGAATCATAATGCAAAATCTATGTTTTCCGATGGTCTTCGGCGACCTTTGTGAAAGGGTTGTTTGACCCCCTAAGGGGTTGTGACCCACAGAATGAGAACCTCTGCTCTAGACCCTACACCTCCTTTGTCTCTTCCTTCATTCTTCCCTCCAGGGTCTCATAAGTTCCAGTTTTGCCTCAGACTTCCTATGTAGGCAAAGATGATCTTAAACTTTGAATTTTCCTGTCCAGGGTGGGATTACAGGCATGTGTACCTACCACACATGCTTTAGTCAGTGGTGGGGTCAAACCCATGACTTTGTGCATGGAGCGTAAGCACTCTGTTTACCATGTTGCATCCCCAGCCCCAGGCCTCTATCTCACAGGTTCTGCCATCTCCCAATAGGGCCATCCTGGGGACTAAAGTTTCAGCACATGGGCTTCTGGGGGATTCTCAAGCCTTTAGCTTTCTTAAGCTTCATTTTCTCATTTGTAAAAAGTGCATAATAAAACCACTTTGTGAGACATGAAACACACGCAGGGAAACTGAGGAGAATGCTATGAGAATAGTTGGCTTCCTAGAAAGCACTCAGGGCCACCCATGACTGTAGTCCATCACTGTTAGTCTCCTCCTCATATCTTAGGGACCTAAAGGAGGGAAGGCTCTCAGCTAATGACTTGTTCACCTTCCTCACAGCTCTGACTTTAACTCCTTAGACCTTTGTGTGCACTATCTTAACACATGCTTAGCCGAAAGTCATTCTGCTTTATGGTCTTGATGTTAAAGGACACACAGGCGTTAGCTTTGCTTTTGACCCATTTCAATACTCAGGATACATCTTCCAGCCTTCTGTCCTTGACTTACACAGATACCTCTTCCCAAAGTAAAGGAAGACCTACATGATTTCTCTAGCTTCCTTGAGCTCCATCAATACTATCTAAAATCATCATCCCCTTGGAGAAAAGTACTGTCTAGTCCTTGGACCCGAACACAGACTGGAGCTGGAAAGCACAAAAGGAGCTTCAGGCAGAGTCACCCATGTCTGTCTTTCTCTCTTCCAGGAGCCAAGCCAGCCCCCAAGACCATGAACTTGTCCTCTGAGCACTGCAACATATCTGACTGGCTGAGACTAGAGGCGACCGTGAAGGCCTCTGTGTACATGGTGGCTTTTTCCATTGCCACATCCATCACCGTTGTCATTATTGCGATAGTGTCACAGAATCTGCAGCTGAGGAAAGAGGTCCGACTGGTCCTCCTTTGCCATCACCTGCTGTGTATCTCCTCCTACTGTGGCCTGGGGGTCGTCTTCCAAGGAATGCGAGCCTTGCTGGCCAACAGCCCCCTGCTGCTGTGCTGGCTGGTCTTTGGGGCACAGCTAAGTGTGGGAGAAGGGATCCTCCTTACTCTGGCCTTGATGGCTCTCAACACTTACCTTGTCATTTGTTATCCCCTGAACTCTCCGTCCTTTGTAGATTCTGCCAAGTACAGGATTCTGGCTGGGTCCTGGACCACTGTTATACTCAAGAATGTTGGCTTATTCCTCATAGAGGGCACTAACCCTACCCCAGCCTCTGTTTTCCAGTCTGCCCCGCTCTGTCCTGTGATCTTGAATGGTACGCCTGCCAGAGTCATCGGCGTGTTTTCCCTTGTCCTTCCTTTATCTGTCATTCTTGTGAGTTACTATCTGATATACCGAGAAGGAAAGCAGGCTGGCCATTTTAACAGATCAAACATCAAGGCCAGGAGAACTGTCCTCGTTCATCTACTGCAGATCAGCTTACACGTGATACCCACCCTAATGTTTATAGGTTTGGGAAAGCGGTGCGGATCATTTTTCTTTGCTTTAAATCTGGTGCTTTTTGGTGTCTTCGCATTTGCACAGTGTTTCAACCCTTTGGTCTATGGACTCTGCAACAGAGACCTGCAGAGAAGATTGTACCCTTGGCTTCGCTGTCAGAAGAAGCAGCAGGGAGCTGGCTTAAACAAAACTTTAGTTCTTCAGAGTAACTCCAGACTTGATAGGTGTGTCAGCTAGGGCTGAGAACTCACCTTGTGTTCAACCCAAAACTGTTGCTTTGATTTGATTTTGAAAGTACTGAGACTTCTCTGCTGCATCTCGGTGAGGTCAGCTCGTGCTTTAACTCGAAACCCAGATGAGCACTTCTGATGGCCTGCTCTGCTGTGCCTGAGTGTGATAGCGGAAAGGGCCAAATACAGGAGTCACATGATGATGAAGTCACTGGAGAGGCCGGAGGAAACAGAAGTCAGGGACCCCAGTGATTGGTGTCAAGTCAAGATAGGCCAGGCAGCTGTATGCTCTGGGCACTCGCAGCTTTACCAACTTTGTCTGCCAGGAGAAAGATCAACAAGATGGTTTTACCTCCACCTGTGTTCTCTTCAACACACACTCTCCTGTAATTGGTGGAACCTAACTGGTCACTGAGACCCAAAAGCAAAGGAGTCTGGGAAATGTAGTTCTTAGTTTTACTGATTTGGCAGTATGGGAAGTTACCTCACAAGGGGGAGTGAGTGAGGACTGAATGAGCCAACCTGGGGATCCTCTCTTACTACACTTAGTTTTATTTACAGATTATAATAATAACAGAAACAAAAGACACTATTGGGCATTATGTTCCTCACACTATATAGGATTTTTACACTATGTCAAATCCTCACAACTAACTGGGTCTATGGAGGGTCCAGCCCCTCGATAGCCCTCTCATGGGTCCAGGAAGAATCTACGACCAGCTGATAATCTAATCTTTGATGATATTAAACTAATCTATGTACACAAAACTCTTTAGTTTATACGCTTTATTTTTTTGAGTCAGTTTTTCTCTCTACACAGCTTCTTTTCTGTTCTTATACTTAGCTCCTCTTTGTCCCTTCTCTTCCTGTCCTCTCACAGCTCTAACTCTTTTCCATCTCTGTCCTCATCTTCATCCTTATTCTTCTCCATTGTGGTTCCTTCTTGTTCCTCTCCAGGAACTGGTCTCTCCCTTACCAGCAGCCTGACTCTTCTAATTCAGTGCAAAGCTTCCAAGAGCAGTGATAGCCAGCTTAATTTGCAACCCAAAAGGGGAGTGAATAGAGGAGGTAGGGTTAGATAAGGCCTGTGATAATTCAGAAAGGGAATTTATGAGCTCAAAATATAGTCTTATAAGTGGTTAGGTGCTCAAACTACAATCTTATAGGTGGTTAGGTAAAGGAGTCTATAAGTCACTAAAATAAAACTGCCTCCATTTTCCTATGCTGCCATATACTGGCAAGGCGGGTGACGCTACTCAGAGATAAGAAACCTGCCTCATAGCTACATTGCAGCTGGTATGCAAAAAAACCCTTTTGTTCAGAGTCAATTGCTCTGGAATACCTCTTGGGCTGTGAAAGAAAGGAGGGTCTGAGCTTCATTTGCACAAGAAACAAAGCTATGCTTAGGAGACTGGCAGTGTCTCCATAAGGGTGTTTACCTTAATTCAGGAGACAGCAGTTGGTCTATTTGCCATTTTGGCCTAGGATGCTTGAGAAGAATTTCAGGTAAAATACACTGTTAAAAGTTCTTGGGGGAGCTGGGCATGGTGGCACACACCTTTAATCCCAGCACTCGGGAGGCAGAGGCAGTTGGATCTCTGTGAGTTCGAGGCCAGTCTGGTCTACAGAGTGAGTTCCAGGATAGGCTCCAAAGCTAGACAGAGAAACCCTGTCTTGAAAAACAAAACAAAACAAAACAAAACAAAACAAAAAGTTCTTGGGGAAGTTATGAACACACATGAAATTGCTAAGCAGAAGACAGCTGATATATTAAAAGACAAATAACACCAAATATTCCTTGATATTTGGCTTCTCACCCAGAAGGATTCCTTGATCCTTCTGGTTATAGCTTTATCATATACAGCTGAATCTCTATTTCATATTCCTGTGGCCTGTAGCACACAACAATTCTGTAATGTAGACATAATAATTCTTGATTTACAAATGAGAAAAATAGAGGTTGAGAAAAGACTTATGTAAGCCTAGAAGGTTCTAAATCTTGCAATTCTCATAACATTTTTTGCATATGTTTTTTGGCACAGGGTAATCACTTTTCCTAAAAAATTGAGAAGAAGTGTGTGTGTGTGTGTGTGTGTGTGTGTGTGTGTGTGTGTGTGTGTGTAGGTCAGAGGACAACTGTTAAAAATTAGTTCTTTCGGGCTGGAGAGATGGCTCGGAGGTTAAGAGCACTGGCTGCTCTTCCAGAGGTCCTGAGTTAAATTCCCAGCACCCACATGGTGGCTCACAACCATCTGTAATGAGATCTGGTGCCCTCTTCTGGCCTGCAGTTACATATGCTGTATACATAATAAATAAAATAAATCTTTAAAAAAAAAATTAGTTCTTTCTTCCACTACTATGTAGGTTCCTCTTTGTGGTCATCAAGCTTTTGAGGCAAATGGTTTACTTGCTGAGCCATCTTGACAGCCCAACATTTTCATTTTTGAAAGTCTGAACCAATTGCCTGAGAAAGTCAGGCCTTGACTGTGAAGGAGAGGGTGAGGACTAGAGAGTACTGTGAAGGAGAGGGTGAGGACTAGAGAATACTGTGAAGGAGAGGGTGAGGACTAGAGAGTAC